TAATTTAAAAAAAAAAAAAAAAAAAATCATTGATGATTTTGTTGATTTTCGTTTTGTGTAAATTTTAAATATTTGTCAAACACACGTTATCCGGAACAGTACTAAACCTCCCATCGATATGTTATAAATATTTATATACGTGTATTCATGTGCCGTTCATCATCGATATTATTGTAATTATTGAAATGTTTTTAGTGACGGAAAAGGAAAAATATTTATAGAGAATTTTATCGCGTATTTTTAAGTTTGATTGGACATTCAATATTATTATTATGTATAATTATTATAAAAAAAAAAAAAAAAAAATGTAATTCGATACGCGTTGAAATATATGTTATTACCTACCTATAATTAATTATTATTACGATTACGACGGGTAAACCGAAAAGTATTTATTTCTTAGTTAGACAACGGAGACGTTCAAGTGTTAAACAAGATTATACACCATACGATTATTGTTTAAGTATGATATTTGTTACGGTTTAATACTCGACGTTTGTATATTGTGTTGTAATATTGAAATAAAAACTGTGGTGCATAAAAATCACCGTTATTTCGCGTCGTGTATGATATTTTATACGAACGCGATGAAGAGAGGGGAAAAATCGGTAACGCGACGCGGCGTTCCGGGCAGGCAAATTAGGTACATTGCCGCGTGCACTATCGGAATTGGGTATCTCGACGCCACGGCCGCCGACGTCTTAAAGTTCGCCGTTACTTTTTTCATATTAAATACATAATATAGAAGACAATATGAGTATTTAGTTTTTCGTGCGTATAAGTCGGGGGTTTTTTTTTCGTCAACGATAAAAAAAAAAAAAAAAAACACCGCCGCCGCCGCCGTCGTCGTAGTTCCAGAGTTTCGTTCGGTAAGGTAAACCAAATTACAATCGTACAACAAAGTTTAATTTGTTCAAACTCGCAACGGAAACGGCGGGTTTCCCGAAAAAAATTGAATCTCTTTCGAGTTGGCAGAGATAACCGCGAATCGTTGTATTCGAATGTATTTTCCGACGGGCTTTTTTTTTTTTTTTTTTTTTTTTTGACAGTAGAGTAACAACGACATTGTCATAATAACATTGGTGTACGTTTTTATATTTTCGAATTGTAACCGGCTCAAAATATACAAACGAAAAATCGTTCACCGCGATCGAAATGATTAAACGGAAAACTATGAACCCGTAACGTTGATTAGTTCACGGTTCTTTTTGAATTTTGTGTTTTTCCGAACATTGAATGCGAGTTTCACGACATAATATTATTGAAAACAATAAACTCATGTTAGAGTACCGCCATCAGCAACTGCTCAGTCGTTCCGCGAGGTTCACACTATGGCAGGTGTCGAAAAACCGTAGCGGGCTATTAATAGGCGATTGTCGTCGGTGCATAACGTGATCGTTGTCTTGGAGTAAATTGGCGAACGGCAAAGATCTCGAGCGCTTGATAATAAACGTTTTGAAGCGTTCGCATAGTTGAAATTTAACAGCGGCCGCGTTACCACGATAAAACTAATCTCTAACCACTCTACGAAAAAGGAATATAACGATGTAAATAACCCCATCAATCGTTTTATTTATGCCACACCTGTGTTGCGTGGGTTACGTATTATTAAATTTACGTAAAAAAAAAAAAAAAAAAACCCAAACAAAACTACCCAAACGTTATACCAGCTGTAATTTTATGTTGGTTTTAGTTACAATATTTTTACTGACCAAGTGTCGCCTGCGGATGTTCCTTATTGCAGTCGCCCCAAAATCGAAAATTGTTAAACTTCATTTGAGTTACCCTGTGTAATAATTGAATCATTCGGCTAACTGAAAATAAAAAGCATTTTTTAGAGAAATTCGTTGGCGTTTCGAAAAACTTTTTAGATATAAAAAAAAACCCCAGGCACAACATGCGAATATATTTTGTGCGGGTCTTTTAATCTACGTCGTGAAAAAAATCGAAAAATGTCTTTTCTGACAAAAAGAACCGTATACATCATAATAAAACTTTAATACAAGTTTTTTCACTATGTTTAAAATTATATTTAAAATAAAAATTATTAAAATATTTCTTTTTGATATTCGTACACCACTACATATACATATTGGTCTTGCCAATTAGGTAAAAAATAGAAAGAAAAAAAAAAACACTTTAAACTACCGATACTAAAATAATACGGAACGACGTGGGTGCGGGGTAAATGTTTATAAACGGCTCGAGAAACGGGAAAAAACACTTACACGATTATAAAATATAACGACCGTGGTGGGTATGTATGTAAAAGGAACAATACGAAAGGTTCTCGAAAACTTTTTGAACGCGCTAAAATAATAATACGCGTCCGTATAAAATATACATGCACATGTAAGCGTATACCTGCTCTCCGTGTTAAAATGCTTAAAACGACAATTATAATATATTTAAAACTCGTACTCCTCGACCTATTTATATTTTTATGTAAATTTATCGCCGGTAAACGTTGGTGAAAAGTTTGAATCCTACGAACCAATATGCTAAATAATTACGAAATTACGAAATTATTATAATTCTTGCCTTGAACAAAAAAAAAAGCTTATAAATAATTATACGAAGATTTTAAGTTTATACGGTTTTTTCTTTGATTTGTTGTTTGTGTTTTATGATTTTCCCATAATATAAACACTGATATGAAATTGATTATTATTTCCTGCACTTCCGATGTGTGTTGTAAAGTGTTAAGACTCCAGACGTTGTGATAATATGCTGGCAGTTTTCAGACAAATATTCTCTGTACGAACGCCAGTCTGAAATGGCAGTGGAATTCAATTTTAAACATTTAAAAGGCGACGGTGTGAAAATGTTGTGAAAATATTATACGATTCTAAATTGCATTACTTAAAATGATCAAAACAAGACAGATTAATTTTCGTATAGATAATCGCTGGTCCGTTTTAAAAATAAAAATATATTTGTCACCGGAAGTTTTGGCGTATGGCCGTTTTGGCGCGGGGCCATTTGGCGTATTTATTCACTCACCACAATTCATTGTAAAATTTAATATTGTAATTACACGAAAACTAGTTGTACGTACGTCACATACTCGTACGGCGGGTGTTATGCCGGTCGTTGAAATGCTTAAGACGGTCACCGGCAAATCCAAATGTCGCGAACATTTTTGACATTGACAGCGCAACCAATAGTGCAACAATGTTTTTGTTAAACGAAACACGGAAGGTTCGAAAACAGTTGATTTATTGTAATATTTATAATATTCTTAGGTTATCACATTTTCAGACGCGTACTGTTGAAATTTAAGCGACGACAATATGTAATCTTAATGACCGATACTGTCGACGGGAGTGTGAAGTTTTTCAGAGGAAATTCGGACAGGAGGAAATAACACGGCGATCGATCGATCGCGAAACACTCATTATGCCGGAAATTATTCATTTTTTTTTTAGGGATCTGTTTTATAGAACGTTTAAGAAACGAGCAGGTCTACGGTTTTATACTTACGTTACTCTTCGTCACCATTGGTTTTAAGGGATAAAACCACTGTTTACTTTTCATTTTTTAAACGGCAACCAATATTTAAAATTCCATAGATATATGGAATATAAGTTTAAATACATTGTGGTGTTGACATTTTTAATTTTTAACCTGACCTAACGGGCTCGGGCGGGACGTCGGTCTGTTACTGTATCACGCCGCGCGCCGTGCCGCCATACGAATGAGTACGCGCCGCGATTCTAGAAATTATAACATTAACGGGGTCATGGAATAATTGCAATGGTTTTTTTTTTAAAAAAAAAGGAAGAAACGACAATATATCACGCACCGGATCGAAATTATGATCGCCCTGTAGAATTCCACGTCGGTATATCCGACAGCGTGAATTTAGAATTTCGCCCGGGGCATCGGTTTTCAAACGAAGTAGCTACCGAAATCCTCATACATAATAATAATAATAATATGTTATTTGTAATGTATTCATATTATATCGTAATGTGTAAAAGAGCTTTGGACAATCCTCTGCCGCCGACGGTCGGCGGTCCGTCGTCAGCTTACACCAAATACAATTCAAATACCTATTCCAATATGACGAGCGTACCGGGTATAATTTGTTTTGATGACGCGAGTATACGTACGGAGCGATCAATATGTCGTGAGACACTCATTATCTCGGAGATTGGTAATATTTTCCGAAATCTGTGTTAAACAACGTTTAAGAAACAAGTTGTTCTACAATTTAACGTTTACATTATTTTTCGTCACGCTACTTTTCGACGGTGAAATGACTCTTTAGTTTCGATTTTCAAATGACGACTTTTATTAAAAATCGCATAAATAGATCGAGTAGTAGTTATCAAAATAGAATACCAAAATTTATTTTAACTACTACTCGATCTATGTATGGAATTTTTAATACAGGTTGTCATTAGAAAATCAGTAGATAGAACTTTTACCACCAAAAACGAGGGTGACGAAAAACAAAATAATTATAAAATTGCAAAGCTGCCTGTTTCTAAAAATTTGTCTATAAAATAAACGTTGGAAAAAATCAATACTTTCCGAGATGATGAGCCTTGAGAATTTCTTATAACAGATCGATCACTCTGCATACGCAAATTCGTTTCGCCCGGTGATTTTGGAATCGCCGTGGTCCGCCTGCTCCACTCTACGCAGTGATTGCGACGCCAATTAAATTTCGCCAATTAGACGGGCAATCCCCCCGCGTACGCCCTGTCAACCGACTGCAGCAAAAGCTGTTCGATAGCTAGCGTGCGGGTGCGCGCGCGCGCGTGTGTGTACTCGTGTTTTGCGTGTTTGTACGCGTGTTTTGTGCGCGCGCGCGCGTGTGTGTTAGTAAAACCGCTTGCTAGCCGCGAGCACCGCATTCACGACGAACACGCGTTCTGGGTTTTCTGCCGAATTATTTCAATCGAAACCCGGGCCGATTTCTGTCCGATTAAGTCCGGTCGCCATATTATACACAGGGTATAATGAGACACATGCACGCGCACACGTCCGCGTGTAAAAGTCGAAGTCCGCAGTACGATCCGGACGAGACGACGACACGCTATAGCGGAGAAGGACGGGGCTACAACAATAACATATCATATCGCGATATATATTATTAAACGGTATTCGGACAAGTAGCGCGCCATTCGTAACCACGCTGGGGGTCGTGACGTAAATCCGGATAACCCGAAAATCCGAAAAGTCCTGATTTTCGACGTCGAAATTTAAAATCACGATTACTTTTTGAATTGTACAAAGAACGCGTAAAAGAATCCGAAATCATTTTCAAAATTCTGCGAAATGACGTTACCCTAAATACATTTTCGGATTCGGAAAATCTAGATTGTCTAACTTCGACAAATCCGGATTTTTCCATCACTAAGCCACGCTACTGTAGCGCGCCGATCGACACAAACAGCCGAATAAATCTTGGGGGGGGGGGGTGGGAGGGCTCAAGTTTCTCCCCGTAAAATTAATAAAACCGAGGCGGAATCGCCACTTTTTCGTTTACGCAAGATTCTTCATTTGACGCGTACACATTATGACAGCAATCGAAAAACGTAAGCAATCAAACGCAAACGTGTTTTCCAAAATACAACACAATATTTCATTCGATTTTGCTAAGCTCGT